TCCCTTTCACGTTGATGTTTCTCTCTCTCTCTCTCCCCCTCCCACTCTATCTGAACAAAATATCAAAAAATGTCCTCGGGCGAGGATAAAACAAAAAAAAAAGAAAGGGACACATCGAGCGGTTGCCACCCGCACGACCCAACCAGGGCCGGGGACAAACTGCAACCAAGGTACATGCCCTTAGCGGGAACAGAACCCAGGTCTCTCCAGACCGCAGGCCGACGCTCCAACTGCTGAGCCAAACTGGCCAGAGCGATTTGGCTAACTTTTAAAGAACCTGTTCACTGAAGTATAAAATAAATAGAGAAAAGGACACAAATCATAATTTTAGAGCTCAATAGATTTTCACAAATGAACACACCTATGTAACCAGCACAAAATTCTCCTGCCCCATGCCTCCTTCCAATTGTTATTCACCCCAAGGGAAACAATATCCTCAGATCTAACACCATGTATTAGTTTTGACTGTTTTTGAACTTCCTGTAAATGGAATCATACAGTATGTCTTTTGTTTTTGGTTTCTTTTACTCAGTGTTATGTTTGTGAGATTCCTCTATCTTGTGTTTAGTTTTAGTTTATCCATCCTCAATAGTATGCAGTATTCCATTCTGTGAATATATTAAAATTTAGTTATCTATTCTACTCTTGAGAGACATTTGAGTAGTGTACTCTTGAGGCTATTGTAAATAGTGTTGCTACGAACATTCTTTTTATGTTCTTGGTGAATATATTTATGCACTTCTGTTGGGTGTTTCTAGAGTTGGGATTTCTGGGTGATAGATAGATTTGTTCAGCTTTAATAGATACTTCCATAACCATGGTTGACATATTACAAGATAATTGGGGTGTGAGTAGAGAATAGAATGTGGTAGTAGGGGTGGTGGCAAGAACAAAAATGGAGACCAGATAGTCTATTGTAATAGTCCTAGCAAAGGGTGACTGTGGCTTTGACTAGGATAACAAGCAAGGAGATGGGAAAACAAAAACAAAAAACAAAAATGTACTCATACAGGATTATACAGATAAAGCTGACAGGATCTGATGATGGTTGGATGTGGGGAGATGAAGGAAAGAGGAATCAAGGTTGATAGGTGTTTGATTTCAACAACTAGGTGGACAGTTGTGTTGATTACTGAGATGGAAATGAGCAGGAAAATAACATGTGTGGGGAGAATCGAGAATTCTGGTTTGGCCACATTAAGTTTGAGATACCTATTAGCTCTCCAAGTACAGATGTCAAGTAGACATTTGGAGCTCAGTCAGATGTCAGGACTGGAGAAATAAACTTAGTGCCATTAGCATACAAGTGTTGAGTACTGCTGAGAGGTTCAAGTAAGATGGAGAGCAGACCACTAGTGCTGTCAACATGGAAGTCATTGGTAACCTAATAACTGAAAGGTGAAAGTTGGTGGTTCATGGTGTGCGGGCATGCTAAATAGCAATCTCGGGTGAATAAAGAAAAATTGGGTTTAGCCCTGGCCGGTTTGGCTCAGCGGTTAGAGCGTCGGCCTGCGGTCCAGAGAGACCCGGGTTCGGTTCCCGCTAAGGGCATGTACCTTGGTTGCAGTTTGTCCCCGGCCCTGGTTGCGGGTGGCAGCCACTCGATGTGTCCCTTTCACGTCGATGTTTCTCTCTCTCTCTCTTCCTCTCTCTCCCTCCCACTCTATCTGTACAAAAAATGGAAAAATGTCCTCGGGTGAGGATAAAAAAAAAGAAAAAAGAAAAATTGGGTTTATTTAAAGGAAAGGGAATGGGTGATGGGGTAATCCAAAGTGCTACACATCAGCAAGCCATGGGGTATTGGGTCGATGATGGCAGCCCCTAGGAGCTGGAGTTTTGTTCTTATATGCATCCACTGGCAGGAAGCTTTTGTCATCAGTGGGTTTTGGGGTCTTGGTTGGTGGGTTTGGGCAGGGGGTTGAGTCTTCAGGAATGTGGATGTGCGATTGGATGCTTCTTTGGTTCCTGGTGTCCCATGGCATTTCTTGTCTGGCCAGTTCTCCTGTGGTGAGAAGTTTGGACTTGGTTCTCCTATGGTGGGGAAGCTTGCAAAATGGCTGTTACGAATTATATTGTTTGAGTAAGTCCTAACAAGAATTATCTCAGTGAGAACATGGAATGGGAAAGCCTGATTGGAGTGGATTGGAGTAAATGGGAAATGAAGAAGTAGAGTATGAGACAATAATATTGCTCAAGAAATCTTGCCATGAAGAAGAACACAGAAACAGAAAGGGGGGAGAGAAGAATCTGGGTTCAAGGGAGGGTTTTTCTCAAGATGGGAGATATTTATCATGTTTGGAAGTGATTCAGTAGAGAGGTAAGTGTAATATAGGAAAACGAATGGATAATCACTGAAGGACAGACCTCGAGAAAGTGAAAGGGGATGGGTTCCAATGCACAAAAGAGAGTTGGTTATTGATGGGAACAGGGATGTTCTCTGTTTAGAAATGCATTTTTTTCTAAAGTTAAGTTTCAGATCTGAGTTCAAATTTACTAGGGACAAGTGTTAATAGAAAACAGTGCCCTGGCTGATGTGGCTCAGTTGGTTGGGCTGCCATCCCATGCACTGAAAGTTTGCCAATTTGATTCCCGGTCAGGGCACATACCTAGGTTGTGGGTTTGATCCTCGGTGGGGGTGATACAGGAGGCAACCAATGGATGTTTATCTCATACATAGAAGTTTCTTTCCCTCTGTCTCCCTTTCCTCTCTAAAATCAGTAAAACATATCCTCAGGTGAGGACTGAAAAAAAAAGAAAGAAAAACATGTTAATGAGCAAGATGGGTAGTATGGGCTACATTGTATGTAGTCTTGAATAAGTGGAAAAGGACTTTGAGTCTAAAAGCAGGGATGATAATTACATAGTTTAAAGAGTAACCTCTTCATGTTAAACACTAAAGGTAGCTTATCTGACAGTGGCTACTATGTATCTAGTGCTTGCCTTGTGCTAGTTCTTTCAAATATATATGATTATCAATACCCACAACAACCCTACAGAATTACATATTACTTATTAATAGTGATTAAAATTCCACTTGATAGATGAGGGATTGAGACTCATCATTTCAGTAATTTTACCAAGGTACCACAATTAGTAAATAGCTGAGGTGGGATTTAAAGCCAGGTCTCCCTGATACAAAAGGCCAGTTAGTTGCACTTCATTTAATGATGTATTCCCATTTCCCTTGCAATTAGCACAGAGACCTGACCAGGATAAATGTTTAGCAGTAGTAGTGACCCTAAAATATGAATTAGATGACCTGCCTTTGCACTTAATCTAGTTTATTCCCAACAACTCTCCCCACTCCACTCCCAGCACGCTAGCTAGTCTTTTAAATTCTTCAATAAGACCCCTGCTATTCTCTATCAGTCATTTTTTCCTAACATTTATCAAATTTTGTCATTATATTACCAGTTTACTTTCTGGTGTCTTTCCTCAGTATTAAGCTCCACCCATGAGACCAGAGAACTTGTCTTGTTTACCTTTGCTATCCCAGAGCTGTGATGTTCAATACAGGAGCCAGTAGTCACACATGGCTATTCAATACTGCAAATGTGACACCTCTGAATTGAGATGTGCAGTAAGTAAAAAATTCATACTGGATTTTGAAGACTTGGTATAAGAAAATAATAACTATGATCTCATTTTTTTCTTATTTATTTATTTATAATCCTCACCTGAGGACATTTTTTCCCATTTTTTTGTTCCGATAGAGTGGGAAGGAGAGGAAGAGAGAGAGAGAAACATCGACGTGAAAGGGACACATCGAGTGGCTGTCACTCACATGACCAACCAGGGCCGGGGACAAACTGCAACCGAGGTATGCGCCCTTGGTGGGAACCAAACCCGGGTCTCTCTGGACCGCAGGCCAACGCTCTAACCGCTGAGCCAAACTGGCCAGGACTTTTTCATATTTATTATGTTAAAACGGTATTTGGAGAAACTAGGCTAAATATGATTAAAATTAAATTCACCTGTTTTACTTTTTTTTTTAATCCTCACCTGAGGATATTTTTCCATTTATCTTCAGATACAGTGAGAGAGGAAGAGAAACATCAACGTGAGAGAGATACATCCACTGATTACTTCCCACACGACCCAACCAGGGCCTAACCCCAACCAAGGTACTGTCCTTGACGGGAATCAAACCTGCGACTCTGATTTGCGGGCCAACGTTCTAACCACTGAGCAAAACTGGCCAGAGCATCATCTGTTTTATTTTTTAATGTGGCTACTAGAAGATTTTAACTTACTGAAGTGACTCACATTGTATTTCTAGGCTCTGAGGCAGTGTTGTCCCAGGGCCTAGCACAGCGTCCAGGCCCATTTTATTTAGCAAAATAACCAATAACACAGACTGAAAGAATGAGTGAGTAGAAATACGGTCTTTGCTTTCCATTAGGAAAATGGATACAGCATTGTCCCATAAGTCAGTAAACCTGGGTTCTGTTCCAGGATTTACTGGCATCACTGTGTAGCCTGCTCCATTCTGGGCGTCAATTTGTCCATCAGGCAGTTGGTCTCCGAGGTCTGAAAGTTGATGAGCGTAACTGGTGAAGAAAGGTGGGGCAGCCAGCTACAATAGAACTTGTCTTCTGTTTGGCTCTAGCATAGCACTTAGGGGTTGGGCCAACGGGAGAAGGAAAGGGGAATCACAGACTAGATTCCTGAACCCAGCGCCGGGACCAACAGCTTCCTCGGTCTGACGTCACTGGGGCGCGACGCCGTCGTCGGCCCTTGTCCGAGCTGCAGGGCTCATAAGGTCCCTTCCGTGAAGAATAGTGCCGAGCTAACAGAGAGTCAAACAGCTCCCGAGTCTCTTCAGGACTCAGTTCTCAGCAAACTAGCCTTCGCCACCCTCCCTCTTTCTTCCCTCTTACCGGGTACAGGAACCCGGGAGCTACGAACCCCGCCCGAGCGTCCAGAACCAAATCTCAGTGCGGCTGCGCGGGGCACGTGCACCTCCTTTCCGGAGTCTGGGCGATTGGCTGTGACGTAACTTCCGGCGTGAGCGGCGAAAGCCGGGAGGGCAAGCGAGAGTGCAAGCAGGCATCCAGCAGCAGGCAGCAGGCGGGCGGGTGGGCATACAGCACAGAGGGAGGGAGAGCGCGAGGGAGTGAGCAGTCTGTGAGCCAGCGAGGGCAGCCGCGTCCCGAGAGCAGCCGAGATTCCTCCCGTTCCTCTGACCCCCTCCCCGGAGCCCACAGCGCCTCCGGTCTCCAGCGGAGCGGACACGGCCCTGCCCGGCCATGGCCTCGTTGCTGAAGGTGGATCAGGAAGTGAAGCTCAAGGTAGCGACACCGGTCCGGGCCTCCTTACTCCTTACTTCGAGCAGTCTGACTGGCTTCCCACTCCCCATGGCGTCTTTGTCTCCCTGGGGACACCAGCTCTGAGCTTCCGCTCGGCTCAGCCCAGCCCCCCACTCCCGAAGACCGCATCTAGGGAGAGGATAATATAGGGTGGCCTTCTATACTTTGGTGATGGAGAACCCCGGGGAGACTTCCGCAGACACGTGGTGGACTCAGTGCTTTAGTAGTGACAGCTGGAAGTTCCCCAGCCCCGCCTCCGGACGTTGCTGCTGCCCTTGGCATCCGGCCTGCCTTGTATCTTAGGCCAGGTCTGGACGGGGGTTGGCACGTTTGTGAGTTCACACCTCCCCTATCTACATGTCTTTCATCTGCTCACAAATTCAGATAGCCTCAGACACAGGGAGGAAGAGAGGGAAGACAGGTGGGTGCTGACCTCAAGCCCTGCTTCCCTCTCCTGAGATGGAGAAATGGGTCCTCAAAAAAGTAAAGTACTTGCAGTCTGGGGGCCTCTCAGCTTCTCATTACAATTACAAGGTGAGGGAAAGACGGCTAGATTTGGGTTTCCCTATCCTGCCCTTGGCTCCCTTGCCAGGTACTGACTTGCTCTTACCGAATTGCTCTTTGTTAATTTTAGGTTGATTCTTTCAGGGAGCGCATCACAAGTGAGGTGAGTGAAACAAATAGAAAAATGAGTATTGGTTATTTGGGAGTTTTCCAAAGGGGAGATGACTGTGGAGAGATAACATCCACAATTTTAATGTATTTTTCCTCATCTTTAGGCAGAAGACTTGGTGGCAAATTTTTTCCCAAAGAAGTTGTTAGAACTTGATAGTTTTTTGAAGGTGAGAGAATCTTTTTCTCAGATTTCCCAATTTTGGGGGCCCTGGTCTTTCTGTCAAATGGGACAAATCGTGTGTTGATTCTATTTTGTTTTGTACTGTAGAGCACTCATTTCCTGCCCTTCACATGAAATACTTCTTTGTTCATCTTGAAAAGACTAATGTTTGGGGGGTGGGCATCTCTCTTTCAGGAACCAATCCTAAACATTCATGACCTAACTCAGATCCACTCAGACATGAATCTCCCAGTCCCTGACCCCATTCTTCTCACCAATAGCCACGATGGACTGGACGGTGTAAGTGTCCTATATTTATCTTTGTCTTCTGAAGCAGTAGGTTCTCTGTCCTCTATTTCCTGGTCATTTGAACATGTACAGAGGAAACAGTGAGATTTGGATCTGGGAATGAGGACTCTTACAGACATGATGATTCCACTACACCCCCTTTACACCCTGATTATCATTTATAGCTAATGCTACTCTGTGTTGAGTGAATTTCAAGTAGAACTAATAGCTACAGGCTCCCTCAGGTTATCTAATCTGTTCCCATGGCCCTAAGCAAGACTTTTCTTACCTGTTTTAATGTCTTGAGTCTTGTTATTGGATGAGTTGTTCTTGATGTATAACTGCAGTCCCTGTCTCTGCTGTGCATCTTTATTACCTAGTCCTTATCAATTAAATGTCCACATTCTGTAACACTGATGACACTGTATTGTTTTTTGTCTGCATTGTTTTTTTTTGTTTTTTGTTTTTTTTTGTCATTGTTAGAACTTACAGTTCTGGAAAGCAGAAACTGCCTTAATCATCTCTGTATTCTCAGTACCTAGCATTGTTTCTGGTACATAACAGGTGCTAAATATGTGTTTGTTGATTGAATATTGTGTTTCTTTATGGAACCAGCAGATTTGTACATATTTTCTTAATTGTCTTTACCTTACATTGAATGGTTCTTTTTTCCTATTGTTTATGGCAGCAATTTTAAACTGGTGTGCTGTAAGAATTTTTAAAATGTGCAATACCTGACTACTATTTAGTTAGGGGTACTGACTTCTTTCCCCTTAGATTGACAAATAAAAAAGGACACCGCCAACACAATAATAGCTGTCCCATGTGAGTGAATCAAAATTATGCCTATTTGTTAGATCAGCAAAAATATGTATTTTTTGGTGTGCCACAGAATTTTAGTAATTAGTTTATGTGTGCCATGAGATGAAAAAGGTAGAAAATTGTTGGCTAGCCCTCTCCTCTGATTGCTTAATGTGTTATATTTTTTGAAAGGTTGGTGTTACCAACTATAATGTAAGTTGCTTTGTAGCAGGAACCTTTTCTTAAAGCCTTGTATGTACTTAATAAATTGCATAAATTAATAAGATAACTTATGGGGTCAAAGAAGGGATTAAACTTGTTTGAAGTATAATTTGTGATAGGGATGTGAGAGCAGGCTAATTTCTGTCTGTTTTCTTAGCCCACTTACAAAAAGCGAAGGTTGGATGAGTGTGAAGAGGCCTTTCAAGGTAAGAACCACCCCGCCCACCACCTGGCTTACAGCCTTGAGAAGCAGATGGGTCTGGTGTTCTCCTGGCCTGGAAGCAGGATCTGATTTTATTTCTCAGAGTTAGCATTCCCAAGTCTTCCAAATACGGTCATTATTTAGCACTCTAATCCTAACTTTCCAGTAAAAATGGAGGGTTTAATTTAGTGTGAACTGACCAAAGGAAAGTGATTGGGGGTAACTACACATTGCAGATTCCTCACAGAAGTCCTAGTTCCATATTATTTTTTCCTCTTTAGTAATAGTTGATATATTAAGTCTTTAGAGCATATTTTAATTTCCTTCTACTTCAGACTTTGCACATACTTTAGATGCTCATTTGTTAATCCATACATTCTCTCTTTTTGATTCTGTTGGTGGTGTCAATGTTTGTTGTGACAGATAAAAGGCAGAGGTCATAGCATCTCATGGGTCTGGGGAAGAAGAGAGAAAGGTGGAGGATGCTATGTCCTGGCCCCCACCCCAATCATTTGGCCTTCTTCATGTCCCTGCCAGGAACCAAGGTGTTTGTGATGCCCAATGGGATGCTAAAAAGCAACCAGCAGCTGGTGGACATTATTGAGAAAGTGAAACCTGAGATCCGGCTGCTGATTGAGAAATGCAACACGGTGAGGCAGGGGCTAGTGAATTATGGGCTGACTTCAAACAGCCTGGCTTGAACTATGAAAAATGATGGATGGTGGGGTTGGAGGCATGGAGGTAACATGGGTGTTGGCAGACTAAGTATCTTGGCTCCTGTGCTCTTGGCATCTGGCCCCAGCAGCATCAATTGTATACTTCATGGCATCAGCAGAGAAAAAGCATGGTCCTCATATGTATATTTTGGTCTCACCATCCTCCAGGTCAAAATGTGGGTACAGCTTCTGATTCCTAGGATAGAAGATGGGAACAACTTTGGGGTGTCCATTCAGGTAATGTGCTTCCACTACACTTTGGAAAGGAAGGTTTGGGAGATTGCTTTGCCTGTTTTTTCTTTCTCTTTGGTCTGCTGTGGAGTGACATGGAAGTGACTTTTGACTCACAGTGTATGTTTTTTTCAGGAGGAGACAGTTGCAGAATTAAGGACTGTTGAGAGTGAAGCTGCATCTTATCTGGACCAGATTTCTAGGTAGGGCTGCTTGGGCTTGGCCCAGTAATTGGGGGCTGGTGTGGTAAGCACTGTCCAGGGTCTCCTGCAACTCTCTTCTGTTTCCTTTCAGATATTATATTACAAGAGCCAAATTGGTTTCTAAAATAGCTAAATATCCACATGTGGTAAGTAAGGGTTTTGTGGCCTGAGGGTGGAAGTGGTAGAATAGGGAGGAGTGACTGTTACTGGGAAAGAGCTGTCTGTAGACAGTTCAGCCTTGGGAACAAGTCTTTTCTCTGCCCCTTCTTTCAGGAGGACTATCGCCGAACCGTGACCGAGATTGATGAGAAAGAATATATCAGCCTTCGCCTCATCATATCAGAACTAAGGAATCAATATGTAAGTAACCTTGACCTCTGCCCCCAGTTTTTCCTGGCTTTTCTTAGTTCTGGTAATAAATTACTTGCAACTCTCTGGGGGTTGAGATGGGGGACAGAGGTAAAGTTAATAGAATAAGTTCTGCTTATCAACCAAGTGTCGAGAACTATGAAATTGAGGGTATACAGATGGGTATCTCCCTTCTTTCTACCTGGATGAGAGGGTGTGCAGTATAGTATAGAGGTGATGATGAGGTTGTTAGACTCAGACAGACTTAGATTTGGAACCAACTCTACCTGTAATGTATGGTCTTGGGCAAGTTGTTTAACCTCAGACTTCAGTTTCTTCATCTCTCAAATGGGACTTAGAGTATCTACTACACAAAGATGGTTTTTAAAAATTAGTGTGATAATACATAAAGAACCCAGTGCAATTCTTGGTGTGTTAAATGCTCAGTAAATGTTAGTTATTATTAGATATTCAGGACCGTGGAAATACCCAGGTATATCAAGTTTTGGGGTGTAAGAGAAGCAGGGCAGCCACCTTGATTTCAGGTTCAAGTGAGTGAGAATAGGATTATGTGAATGATTGCCTGGGGAATTGGTTGGGAGGGATCTTTTTTTTTTTTTAATCCTCACCCGAGGACACTTCTTGCATTCATCTTCAGATAGAGCGGGAGGGAGAGAGGGAGGAAGAGAGAGAGAGAAACATCGACATGAGAGAGACACATTGAGTGGTTGCCACCCACATGACCCCAACTGGGGCTGGGAACAAACTGCAAGGTACATGCCCTTTGCGGGAACTGAACCCGGGATTCTCCAGTCCGCGGGCTGACGCTGTAATTGCTGAGCCAAACCGGCCAGGGCAGGGATCTTTTCTTTTTGAGGTAGAGGTAGAACAGATGTGTGATTCTCTGATCTCTCTTTTCCCAGGTCACCCTACATGACATGATCCTGAAAAATATTGAGAAGATCAAACGGCCCCGGAGCAGCAATGCAGAGACACTGTACTGAGACCAGGGCCAGGGCCAGGGGACTCTGTGAGTCTGGCTCAAGACCGACATTGCCTTGGTTTGTTACAAGACTATCGTGATGGGGAAACTGGCTGGAAATAGTAATCACACCTCTCTCTGTTTTTAGTTAGAGTCTAATGAAACTCTCATGTAGTTCTGTGACGTGTTTACCTCTTTTTTCAGGCCTCAGGAACTCTTCTATTTCCTTCCCTAATACCCCATACCCAATCTGTCCTAATTTCTGGAGAACTCCAGGTTTGTGTGTGCAGGATATTGGCACAAGAATACTTGTGTTTTCTTTCCCCGCCCCCCTCCCCCTTCTGTGTCTTGGGCTTTGTATTTTTTCCTTTTGATGATTAGTTGGTTAGGAGCTGAGGGAACTAGGAGGAAAGTGCTAGGTGGTTTTTTTTGTTTGTTTGTTTGTTTTTTTTAGGATCTGGGGTCAGGGAGACAGCTCCTCTCTTCTGATACAAGGTTAATGTCTCTTGCCAGTGTGTGATATTGGCATCTCCCTGCCACAGCTGTCCTGGTGATGACTTCGGATTTTCCATCTACATACATGGCAAGAAACACCTTAGACCTCAGCTAAGTCCCTAGCTCCTCTAGATGTTTTTATATTAGAATTTTCACATATACATATGTGCATGATAGACACACATGTACACATCTGTCTTCCTGCTCTACTTTGTTACCTGACTTTCCCCCTGAACCCTGTCTCTCTCTCTCTCTCTCTCTCCCCCCCCCTCTCTCTTCCTCTCTCTCTCTCTCTCTCACACACACACACACACACACACACACACACACGCACTGTTCAGGAGATGATAGTTGTCATCTACCAGAGTCCATTGTCTCCTGATATTGTAGTCTCTGGGTGAGTTGGAGGAGAACCAAGAGGTGAGAAGCAGAGGGATTGCAGAAGACTCCTTTCTCTGTGACTCGGGTCCTTTTGGGCATTATTGCAAAGGCCAGTCCTCTGACTCCTGATAGCTTCTTTCCAGACCAGGTGTAAATTGGGGTGGGGGTGTCTACAGCTGTGAGGGCCAGATGCTGCTGCTCCTGCTGGGCTTTTCCTTTGGGGAAAATATTTCTCTTATTTATAGTATTGTGCTTCCAGGGAAAGCAGTCACTTATATGTATATGTGTGTGCATTGCACACACAGGCATGTACCCATTGTGTGTATGTGGAGATCTGCTGGGCAAGTCTAAACCATAGAAGAATTGCCTCCTATCTCTTGAATCTTCAGAGATGTCCCCTACTTTTTTATTCTACCACTACTGGAGAGTCAGTATCTGCAGTCAGCCTGCCAGTGATTCTCAGTATCTGTTTCTGACTTATTCTTCCCCTGTCTCTGTCTTCCAATGCCTAATCATATTTCCACCTGGTTGCATCATTTTTACTCCCAACATGCTATATAGAGAAGGAGTCAGGATGCCGTCTTCCCATGAATAGTACTCAGTAACAAACCAATTGCATTTTAGTTGGGCGATGCCCCAACCCACCCTCCAGATCCCTTCCACCATGCGTTTCTGTTTCCCTTTTCGTTTGTTGAATTGTTCTGCTGCCCCTCCTCCTCACCCTACCACCCTTGGATCGTAATGTAAAATTCTTTTACCATGTCAAGAAATTATTAAAAAATACAGGTACTTTGACCTCTTTCTAAAGGCGCAGACCCTGGTGCGATGCTCTGGTGGCTAGGGACATACACATATTTGTGTGTGCACATTAGGGCACACACCTCCACATATACCACCAGCTATCCTATTGGGTGTCTTGATACTAATTGAGCTTCCTCTTTTCTCTGGAATAATGGAAAGGTTGAGGTTTCTGTCTACCAAGAGGCAAGGGTGGGTCCTTCATTTGTGTTCGGTCTGAATTATGTGGAAGATAGCTCCTTTCCAAATCTAAGCTGCCTTCTGTCCCAACCCTCAACAAGATCCCAGTTCCTCACTTCCTTCCTTCCCCAGTGATACCCATGAATTGCCAGTAGAGGCTGCTCTAGTTCTGAGTGGAGAATCACCTGGTTCAAGGCACACCCTACCCTGTCATTTTCTTTACCTTATACTAATTCTCCCTTCTGAATAATGTCTTAAATTTCTCGAGGAGATGCCGAGGGACTCCTGATTTTGATTTCAAATGACTTGGAGGGCTGTCCAGGACACTACCTCCCTCTGAAATAAAGTTTCCTCAACTTTCACCTTGTAAAGTAGCCTTCTGGTATCCAATGATCCCCTCATTGTCTCTGTTTAAGGTCTTGAACAATGGAGGAACATCTTGTCTGTTTTGTTTCAGAGATTGGAAACAGTAGGTAACAAGTTTTTAATGCCTACCCTATGTTAGGCTCTGTTAAGCACTTTACATGCATGATCACATTTAATCTTCATGAATCTATAGGGTAATTTCATCCCTTCTTTGTAGGTGGGGATACAGATTTATGATATACCTGTCCTGAGGTCACACAGTTTAGGGACCTGGAATTGGTGTACAAATCTGACTGCTAAACTCAGGCCTTCACCATTACTCCTTTCTCACTGACATCTAGAAGCCTTGAGACTTCAGACGAGAGGCTTGACTTTAGGCAACTGGCAGAACACAGTACTTACTGCTACACTGGTCAGTAAATCCTAGATATAGTGGGGGTAAGTGCCTGCCATGAGGTCGGAAAACGGAGTTTTAGTACCTGCATTCAGCACACAGGATTTGATTGGACATCTGAGATTTGTATTCTTCCTCAGATCCATTTTGGGTAGAAGGTGCAGTTTAGCGTTGCTTCAAATGCCCTTTAATCTGTCTAAATTATGGAAATCAGTAGTGAGTACCGATCATGCTGCCAGTAAGAGTTCAGGGGCAGGGGAGATGCTGTGCACATGGAAGTAGTGCCTTGGGCCAAACCACAGAACAGAAAATTGGAACAGAATTATATAAATCAAGGTCAGAAATTTCCTGTTCAACCCACAGGGTGGAGTTTTCTCCATTCCTATCCATCCTACTGAATATAAACCCTGATTTGATGTCAGTAACTGGAAGGAGCAGCTGGTAGGACTCATTTCAGCGCTCAGCATTCATCATGAATGTCAAGGTAGTCCTCGTGTTCCTGGCATTGTCCCTCATTACCGTCTTTGCCCTGGCCTATGTCTTGCTGTCCAGCCAAGGGGGCTCCAGCCAGCCTCCCCACTGCCCCTCTGTATCCCACCGTGCCCAGCACTGGACACACCCTGGCCAGAGCCAGCTGTTTGCAGACCTGAGCCGAGAGGAGCTGACGGCTGTGATGAGCTTTCTGACCCAGCAGCTGGGGCCAGGCCTGGTGGATGCAGCCCAGGCCCGCCCATCAGACAACTGCGTCTTCTCAGTGGAGCTACAGCTGCCTCCCAAGGCTGCAGCCCTGGCCCATCTGGACTGGGGGAGCCCCCCACCTGCCCGGGAGGCACTGGCCATCATCTTCTTTGGTGGACAACCCCAGCCCAACGTGACTGAGCTGGTGGTGGGACCGCTGCCCCACCCCTCCTACATGCGAGATGTGACCGTGGAGCGTCACGGGGGCCCCCTGCCCTATCACCGACGTCCCATGCTAGGAACTGAGTTTGCCCAAATGTGGAAGCATTTGAAAGAGGTGGAGCTACCTAAGGCACCGGTCTTCCTTGCTTCAGTCTTCAACTACAATGGCTCCACTTTGGCACCTCTGCAGGCCACTCCTAGTGGCTTGCGCTCAGGGGACCGTACTACCTGGATAGCCCTCCACCATAACATCTCAGGTGTGGGGATTTTCCTTCACCCAGTGGGGCTGGAGTTACTGCTGGACCACAGGGCCCTGGACCCTGCCAACTGGGCTGTCCAGCGGGTCTTCTATCTTGGGCGCTACTATGCAGACTTGGGCCAGTTGGAACGGGAGTTTAAGGCTGGCCGGCTGGAAGTGGTTCGAGTTCCTCTGCCCCTGCCAAATGGTGCTTCATCCCTGAGGTCCCGGGTCTCCCCAGGTCCTCTTCCCCCTCTTCAGTTGTCACCCCAGGCCTCCCAATACAGTGTACAAGGGAAACTGGTGGTGTCCTCCCTCTGGACATTTACCTTTGGCCATGGAGTGTTCAGTGGCATGAGGATTTTTGATATTCGGTTCAAGGGCGAGCGAGTGGCCTATGAAGTCAGTGTCCAGGAGTGTGTATCTATCTATGGTGCTGATTCACCCAAGACAATGATGACCCGATACTTGGATAGCAGCTATGGACTTGGCCGTAACAGCCGGGGCTTGGTGCGGGGTGTGGACTGCCCCTATCAATCTACAATGGTGGATATCCATGTATTAGTGGGCCAAGGGGCAGTCCAGCTGCTCCCAGGGGCTGTGTGTATTTTTGAGGAGGCCCAAGGACTGCCCCTTCGAAGGCACTACAATCACCTTCAGAGTCATTTCTACGGTGGTTTGGCTGGTTCAGCTCTTGTAGTCAGGTCTGTGTCATCTGTAGGCAACTATGACTACATTTGGGACTTTGTATTTTACCCAAATGGGGTGCTTGAAGGGCGGGTCCATGCCACAGGCTTTGTCAACACAGCTTTCCTGAGTGGGGGAGAGGAAAGCCTCCTCTTTGGGAATCGTGTGGGGGAACGAGTGCTGGGGACAGTGCACACGCATGCCTTCCACTTCAAGCTGGACCTGGACGTAGCAGGTGAGTGCTCAGGCAATGAGGATGGAGGGCTGGGGTGGGGCAGAGGGAAGGGAGACCACCACCCAGACCAAGCCCGAAGAGGCGAGAGGGTAGCATTCCAGCTCCACAATTCATTGTAGCAACAGAACACGGATGGACTTAAGTGTATTCAACTGCAGTGAGCCTGAAATACTGGGCTTACTGGGTCTCTGCAGAAGGTAGAGGGGGTTCCCCCTCCAGCTCTGATCATTCAGTCCCTCATGTTGCCACTGTGAAGTTAGTTTAATGTAAAGGCTGTGCCTGTCTACCTTAGGCTTGAGTGACCATGTGGGTGGTGAATTTGCCCTAAGGCTGGATGGGCCTGGAGTTGGGGCTCTGAGTTCTTCCTAATTCTGAAGGTCTGTGGAGGAGAGGCCTGAGCAGAGGTAGGAAGCAGTCTGTCTCAAAGAGGTTTTCAGAGTAGAGGTGGTCCAGGGCATGAGAAGGGGGATACTAGCTGAGAGTTGCTCCACAGGATTTCAGACAATGGGGGATACAAGATAGTGACCCCATCCTTCTGGAGGGGGGCATCCCACTCCTGTCAGCACATGTCATCACAGTGGGCTCTCCAGTGGGATGGCAGGCATGTAGTAGGCTTGCTGCAAGTCTAGAAAGGGAGTTCTCAAGTAGGGCTCAGAGCATGAAGGACTTGCTGCTCCTGACAGGTTTTGTCAGGCACAGAAAGTAACCAACTTATCAATGAGACAATTAGACCCAGAAAGAAATTTAGAAATCCACCAGTCCCTCTCTCTCCATTTTACAGTTAGGGAAATTGAGACTAGGGGAGATGGGACAGGAAGTAATTGCCCAAGTATAATGCTCTGTAACTAAGGATGTTTCTTGTGAAACAATTTCTTATTCTCCTGGGTATAAAGACATGATGTGTGTGTGTATGTGTGTGTGTAGTGTAGTGTAGTGTAGGGGTGAAGGGGAGGGAGAACTAAGATAGCATGATTGAAACAGCATATTAACAGTTCTTTGACAGATTTGGAATATGATTATTTTTTAAGAAATATTTTTTCTTTATTGATTTTAGAGAGGAAGGGAGAGGGAGAGAGAGAAACATCGATGAGAAAGAACATTGGCTGCCTCCTGCATGCCCCCCACTGGGGATTTGGCCCACAACCTGGACATGTACCCTGACCGGGAATCGAACCAGCGACCTCTTGGTGCATGGGTCAAAGCTCAACCACTGAGCCACACCAGCCAGGCATGATTTGGAATATGACTATTTTCTGATTTGAAGTTTGTCTTCATCATTTTTGGTATTAAAGAGCCTTGTCTTAGTTAAAATCAAATAACATCTGTTGGCTCCCTAGTGGGTATGGCACAGGCTGGTGCTGTGGGCTGGAGGCTGTATCAGGCCCCCTGTGCACAAGACCACCAGTAGAGCTTCCCTCTGTGCCATCTGCCTTTACATAGGTCATGTTGAAAGGAACTGACAGTCTGCATCTGACAAGGATGAGATCAAGTGCCATGTGGGTGGGGTAATGAGTGCAGGTTTCCAACGCAATAGAATTCCAAGGAGTTCCCAGAAAATTGAAAGATATAAATCGACTCACTTCTGAAAAAGACTGATAGTGATCCCCATCTTGTAGAGAGAAAGAAAGCAAATTCTCAGAGCTGAGGGGGGTATGCAGGGCACCATGGAAGGGGATTGGGTTTTTCCAGCCAACTTCTCCAAGAAAAATGTCCCTTTCATAGTTACAAGAATGTAACTAGCTACCTGTGTGTGTTTTTCCATTTACAGAGCTCAGACATAGACCAGCTTTTATTATGTCTAGTGTAGAGATTCGGAAAATGAGGATCAAAAAAGCAAACAATTTGTTCAAGGGTAGACCAATATTACTAGAACTTTCTGTGGTAATGAAAATGTTCTATATCTGCATTGTCCAATACATTAGCCATGAGTCTCATGTGGCTACTGAGCACTTGAAATGTGGCTTAGTGTGACTGAAACTGAATTTTTAATTTAAATGCAAATGGCTATTTGTGACTGGCAGTAACTGTATTGGAGAGGGCAGGATTGAAGATGGGCTAGCTCCCAAATCCAGACCTCCTGGCTCCCAGTATGGAGTGCTCTCTGGGTTCTGCCGCCTTTGTCAGGCCAGTGCAGTGGACATCTTGGGGAGATGAGGAGCCTCTCTTACCTGGTATAGAATTCTTCTCCCTCCCCTCATTCTGGCAGGGCTGAAAAACTGGGTGGTAGCTGAAGACGTGGTGTTTAAACCTGTGGCAGCCCCTTGGAGTCCAGAGCACCAACTTCAGCGTCCACAGCTGATTCGGCAGGTCCTGGAAAGGGAGGACCTGACAGCTTTTCCCTTGGGAAATCCCCTTCCTCGATACCTTTACCTGGCTGGCAACCAGACTAATGCCTGGGGTCACCAGCGCGGGTACCGAATCCAGATTCACGGCCCCCTTGGCATACACATGCCCCTGGAGAGCGACATGGAGAAGGCCCTCAGCTGGGGGAGGTGAGGAGAGTCCTGGGCACTGGGTGGTAGGGAAGGACTGGTTCCCTTCTTCATCTCAGCTCTTGGAGACCCCAACTCACTATTCTTAACTTGCCATCCACCTCTGTATCTCCTCTCATTTTCAAGTAGATATGGGATGGGAGATGGCCTCACACAGAATCTGATCCAAAAGATTTCTGGGACAGTAAAGGTCTCTGACTTTTTCTGACTCCACCTTCTTACGGCATTCCTGGTCAGATACCAGCTCGCGGTGACCCGGAGGAAAGAGGAGGAGTCACAGAGCAGCAGCATCTATTACCAGAATGACATTTGGACACCCACTATTGCCTTTGCTGACTTCATCAATAATGAGACTCTCTTAGGAGAGGTTGGTAGCTCTAGAGACAGAGGAGAGGGGCTCTTCTGTGTCTGGTGTCTTGGCTGCCCAACACCTGGCCCTAGGTTGGAGGGAATGGTATGTTTCCAGTTCTCAGATTCAAGATCCAAGGAGTTATCTGATGACCAACATGGGTCATCCCTCCTGGAATGGGATTAGCCCTGGGAACTGACCACCCTACAGATTCTCACATGGATCACCATATTTTGTGGGACTGCGGCTGGGAGGAGGTGGAAGCAGGCCTTAGGCTGGAGAATGGGGATTGTAGCTGAGGGGTGGTTCTCTGGGTTTCATCTCCAAAGTCCTCCAGCTCCTCCCTCTTCCTGCAGGACCTGGTGGCCTGGGTTACAGCCAGCTTCCTGCACATCCCCCATGCTGAGGATGTCCCCAACACAGTTACTGTGGGGAACAGAGTTGGCTTCTTGCTCCGACCCTATAACTTCTTTGATGAGGACCCCTCCATCTTCTCCCCTGGCAGCGTCTACTTTGAGAAGGGCCAGGATGCTGGGCTCTGCAATGTCAACCCTGTGGCCTGCATCCCCCACCTGGCAGCCTGTGTCCCAGAATTGCCTCCTTTCTCTTACCAAGACTTTTAACCCCAAGGGTGTGGTGGGACACAGAGGGCGGTCGGGAGGGTGCTAAGACATATGTACCTTTCTCTTTTCCCAATTTCTGCTCCCCTAACTCCCATCCTCTTAATGTTTTTTTAGGAAACAGCCTCTTCCCACACTAAACCTCCATATATCATTTTGGTTAATTCATATTTCATGTGTCTCTTTTTAAAATGATGAATTTATACAAGTGATATTATTATTAAAATATTCAAGCAAAAACACTACAAATCCTACCACTCAGAAATAGCTACTGTCACATTTGGTGACCATTATACCAGGTAGTTCTTTATTAGGTGTATTGAAATGGAAGGATAAATAGAATTTTGTAAAATAGATGGTATGTGCAATTTATAATAAAAAATATTACAAGATTTTTACTTGAATTTCTTCTATGTGACTTTTGAAGTATCTAGAATTTCCCAGAGAATTGTAAGGATTCTGGCCAAGGAAATTAGCAATGGAAGAGAGAGGACAAGGGGATGGTGCTGGCCAAGGAATGCTGCGTGGGAAGCTGAAGGGCTGGGGGTAGGGGTTTCCTTGGAAGGAGAACAATAGTTCCAAGCTACAGGAAAGAGAACATCTGGCCCTTGGGAAGGTGGGGGCTGGAGGAAGAAGTGGGGCTGAGGGAGGTGAGGGGCTGCAGATCCCACTCCTTGATGGTAGTACATTTTTGTGCTCAGGCTGGTCAGCTACATTATTTTGAAATCCCTCCCCCTTCCTCTACTCCAGCTTTTCCCAGTTCCAACCCTGACCCAGAGAGCACAGTTCGATTTGGAGCCTGGAAGACAAAGCCATGTAAGGTCTGTGGAAATCACTGCTTCCCTGCATCAGGCCCGCCCCCAGCCCTGGCCCGCCCTGCCCCCATCCCCAGCCTTCCCGGTCCTTCCCACCCTCAGTCTCCTGTGTCTCTGAATACTGGGAACCTAAACCAAGTCCAGGAGTCCACACTATAGGAGCCAAGAGAGACCCTTCGATGCTGACCTGAGAGTACACGTCTCCACTCTGGAAAATCCTCTGTCCCTCTCTATAAGACGATGAACCAGAAGACCACCCTGGTGCTCCTCACTCTGGCGGTCATCACCATCTTTGCCTTGGTGTGTGTCTTGCTGGCTGGTAGGGGAGGAAATGGGGGTGAACCCAGTCTGCCTCCCCACTGCCCCTCTATATCTCCCAGTGCCCAGCACTGGACACACCCTGGCCAGAGCCAGCTGTTTGCAGACCTGAGCCGAGAGGAGCTGACGGCTGTGATGAGCTTTCTGACCCAGCAGCTGGGGCCAGGCCTGGTGGATGCAGCCCAGGCCCGCCCATCAGACAACTGCGTCTTCTCAGTGGAGCTACAGCTGCCTCCCAAGGCTGCAGCCCTGGCCCATCTGGACAGGGGGAGCCCCCCACCTGCCCGGGAGGCACTGGCCATCGTCTTCTTTGGTGGACAACCCCAGCCCAACGTGACTGAGCTGGTGGTGGGACCGCTGCCCCACCCCTCCTACATGCGAGATGTGACCGTGGAGCGTCACGGGGGCCCCCTGCCCTATCACCGACGCCCCGTGCTGATCCGAGAGTACCTGGACATAGACCAGATGATCTTCGACAGAGAGCTGCCCCAGGCTGCTGGTCTCCTCCACCACTGCTGCTTCTACAAGCACCAGGGAAGGAACCTAGTGACGATGACCACGGCACCCCGGGGTGTGCAATCAGGGGACCGGGCCACCTGGTTTGGTCTCTACTACAACATCTCAGGGGCTGGGTTTTTCCTGCACCCTGTAGGGTTGGAGCTGCTGGTGGACCACAAGGCTCTGGACCCTGCCCACTGGACCATCCAGAAGGTGTTCTTCCAAGGCCGCTACTATAAGAGTCTGGCTCAGCTGGAGGATGAGTTTGAGGCCGGCCTGGTGAATGTGGTGCTGATCCCAGACAATGGCACAGGTGCGTCCTGGTCCCTGAAGTCCCAGGTGCCCCCGGGTCCGGCTCCCCCTCTGCAGTTCCATCCTCAGGGCCCCCGCTTCAGTGTCCAGGGACGTCGAGTGGCCTCCTCATTGTGGACTTTCTCTTTTGGCCTTGGAGCTTTCAGTGGCCCGAGGATCTTTGACATCCGCTTCCAGGGAGAACGGCTAGCTTATGAGATCAGCCTCCAAGAGGCTTTGGCCATCTATGGTGGAAACTCCCCCACAGCAATGCTGACCCGCTATATTGATGGCGGTTTTGGCATGGGCAAGTACTCCACGCCCCTGACCCGTGGGGTGGACTGCCCCTACCTGGCCACCTATGTGGACTGGCACTTCCTTTTGGAGTCCCAAGACCCCAAGACAATACGAGATGCCTTCTGTGTGTTTGAACAGAACCAGGACATCCCCCTGAGGCGACACCACTCAGATTTCTACTCCTATTATTTTGGGGGCCTTACAGAGACAGTGCTGGTCATCAGATCTGTGTCTACCATGCTCAACTATGACTATGTGTGGGATATGGTCTTCTACTCCAATGGAGCCATAGAAGTCAAATTCCATGCCACGGGATACATCAGCTCAACGTTCCTCTTTGGTGCTGCCCGAAATTATGGGAACCAAGTTGGGGAGCACACACTGGGCACTGCCCACACCCACAGTGCCCACTTCAAGGTGGATCTGGATGTAGGAGGTAAGACATCCTGGAGAGGAAAGTATTCTGGAAGAGGGGGCTGAAGAGTTATGTCTGTTTTGGGTTTATAGCTGTGAGGTAGGAAAGGAAGATGGAAGAGTGAGTATGTGGTTTTGGAGTTCATGCTTCCTTTTTGGCTGGATATGAGAGAGTTGGATGCTAAATCTTATTTAGCTCATTGGCTGAGTGCACAGCTGCTACCCTCCCTTCACATGACCTCATCAGAATATCTTGAGAAATGGCAAAGCATTGATGGGGAATCCATTTCAGGGAGGCAGCCATTTATTTTTCAGTTTATTTCTCTGCATCTGGCCTGTGGTGCTGGTGTTTTGGAGGATCTGTTTGCATTCTGCCAAGTTCCTGGCACATGCAGGCCAGTCATGGAACATCCTAGGCTGGACATGTCCTAGGGAGATGGACCCGCCTCCTTCTTGATTTTCTACCTCTCTCTGAACTTAAGTATGAGGAATAGAATGGATACTGGGGAGCATTCCAGATAGTTCCTGTTGATCTCAGAAAGAGCCAAGGAAACGTGATGTCTTGGAATCTGTCTTTTTATTTTCCTTCCCCATGTTGAGCTGATCACCAGACTTTTTTCTGTCCTGCCTCTGAAATATCTTAAACTCCTCACTGGGCCCCACTGGCATACACCTGTTGGTGCCAGATCTCTTTCTGCTGTTCCACTCTTCTTTCTCCCGAGTCCGGGGTTCACTCTGTGCCCAGGGGGCCCTGCCAGCCCATGCTCGCCTTCTCCCTCATACAGGTCTTACTTTCCCCATCACCTATAGGATCCTATCCCTTCAGCATGCTGCTTTTCAGATTCTTCCCTGTGCGCTGCTTTAGCCACCCTGTCTCTGGACTCACATACTGCATATGCTAGTCAAGCTTCTTAGCTTTTGCTCAAGTTTTGTTCCTGCCTAGAATGCCCTGCTATGGCATTTCTGCAGGTAACATCCTGGAAGGCCAGGCTGAAAATCTGCCCTGGAAGGTCCCCTTTTCCTGCCTGCACCTCTATTTCTATAACCTGAATCTTGAATATGCTCCTTTCACATTGCAGCCAGTGAGAGCAAAAGGGTAAGGATGATGTTTTGTTCATCTGTGTGTCCCCAGGGCCAAGCCTGGGTCTCACCACTAATGACATAGTGAATGAACAAATGAAATAATCAATAAATGAAATTCTTTTTTTAAGGTGTTTTTTTTAGAGAGAAAAGAAAGGAGATGGAGAGATAGAAACATCGATGAGAGAGAGAAGCATCCACATCGATTGGCTGCCTCCTGCACGCCCTCTACAAGGAATGGAGCACGCAACCCCAGCATGTGCCCTGACTGGGAATCAAACCAGCCGCCTCTTGGTGCATAGGTCAACACTCAACCTCTGAGCCACACCTGTCTAGCAATAAATAAAATTCGCGACAAAATATTTTACAGGTCCACAGCTTTGGCTCAAAGATTGGGAACATTTTGGGGAGAGGGAAAGAAAGTAGGGGTACACTCAGTTCTGGGCTTCTCTTGGGCCCCCAATCTGAATGAAGCCAGGTGGGTACAGGGCAGCTGCATGATCAGCCCTTTCTCCCACCCTTTCTTCCTCCTCCTTCCCCCCACCCGGCAGGACTGAAGAACTGGGTCTGGGCTGAGGACATGGTCTTTGTCCCCATGGCGGTACCCTGGAGCCCTGAGCACCAGATGCAGAGGCTGCAGGTGACCCGGAAGCTGCTAGAGACTGAGGAGCAGGCCGCCTTCCCCCTGGGAAGTGCCTCCCCTCGCTACCTGTACCTGGCCAGCAACCAGAGCAACAAGTGGGGTCACCCACGGGGCTACCGCATCCAGACTCTCAGTTTTGCTGGCGAGCCGCTGCCGCAGAACAGCTCCATGGAGAGAGCCTTCAGCTGGGGGAGGTGAGTGGTGGGCTGTCAGAGAGGCTGCAGGAGATGAGAGTGAGAAGGGAGCAATTGGAAACTCAGTTCAAACTGTATGCAAAGTGAAGTAAGAGCTCCAGACGTTCCTGGTTATCAAAAGACACATCCAGTGGGCACTGGGCACATCCTCCCTTGGAGGACTAAAGCTCAGGGCAAAGAACTTTTTTCTTTTGTATGGGGGAGGGGCCAAGCTATGACATTGCAGGGGTGTGAACAGGAGGCCCTGGAAAGGTGTTGGATGATTCACCAGGGTGGTATCAGAGTCAATGAGTGAATGAAAAGGAAAAGCTAAGGTCCACATGCTCAGCGCTCTTTCATTATAATCAGACAGCAGAATGGGGTTAGTGACCTTAGAGGTCTGACCAGTGCCTCCCTAGGTACCAACTGGCTGTGACCCAGCGGAAGGAGGAGGAGCCCAGCAGCACCAGCATCTTCAATCAGAATGACCCTTGGGCCCCTACGGTGGACTTCACTGACTTCATCAACAACGAGACCATTGTTGGAGAGGTCAGTTGATTGGGAGGGCCAGTGAGTTGGGTGGGGACACACAGATGAGTTCTACCTTCTTTTGGGGGTTCCTGAAAATCATCTGGTCTCCTCAGGGGCAGAGCTGACTCCTGCCTTCTGTACCTTCGTGGATCTGATTATTAATTCTTGAGGGAACCTTCCCAAACTGAGAGTTCATTTGTAGATGCTGGCCGAGGCCCCAGCCTGTCCACAAGGCCCTACAGCCCTCTAAGCCTCATCTTTGTGGGCTGAGTCCTTTTCAGGCCCCAAGAATCAAGGAGGGCTGGAGGTCACCGGGGAAGACCACATCTCTTGTATCTAAAACCCATTCCTGATGTGACCACCAAAGGATTCATTTCTGAATGTTGGCCTTTTCTGCCTCCCAAACCCTGATCTTCCCTCCTCCTTCCTCCTTCCATCAGCCACAGTTTGGGAACTCTTGAGTTAAGGGGGAAGGAGCTGATGTGGCCTGTAGTATCATAATTTTTCAGGGGTGGAGAGGCCGATGGAGATGTGATAGGAAATGTCAGAGATGGGAAGCACAGGCTGGGTCAGAGAGTTGGGTGTAGCTCCCAATAGGAATATGAAATTGACTATGCTTTGACTTCTGGACCAACAGGAAAAGCATTTAAAGACTTAAGATCTTTTTGAGGAAAGGGGGACTGGCATGGCTATCGTTCCATACCAGGCTACGGTGCGAGGCAGGTGGTGTCGTTAGCAGAGTCAGGCCTCATGATCTTCTTCCTTCTCCCCTGCCAGGATTTGGTGGCCTGGGTGACAGCTGGTTTCCTGCACATCCCACATGCAGAAGACATTCCCAACACAGTGACTGTGGGGAATGGTGTGGGCTTCTTCCTCCGACCCTACAACTTCTTTGACCAGGACGCTACCTCCAATTCTGCTGACTCCATCTATTTCCGGGAAGACCAGGATGCTGGGGCCTGTGAGGTCAACCCCCTGGCTTGCCTCCCCAAGGCTGCTAACTGTGCCCCTGAGCTCCCTGCCTTCTCTCATGGGGGCTTTTCTCACAACTAGGTGGTCCCTGGGATGGGGAATGTGTACAGCGGCCCCAGGGCCAGGGTGTGTAGAGTGGTAGAGCAGTGGGCACTGGGTTGGGTAGGCCGGTGCCCTCTTCTTCTTCCTCACATCCCTGAGATTCCTTCCTCCTTCTCCCCCAAGGTCGCCTCCTGCCATCATCCTCCCTTGCTTCCCCTCTCTACTGGAAGCATCCTGAGCCTGTGGTGCTGGAGCTGGGGGGACACAGGGGAAACCCAGCTTTGTTGCCTCCAGACCTGCTGGGTTTCTGTCCCAGAAAGGAGAGGAATGGCCAGCTAGACGCTGAAAGTGATAGTCAAGTGTTTCACTAGAAGACTCCCTTTTTTTCTTTCTGGCTTTTCCAAATATGTTTAGGCTGTTTCCCTGTTCCTCTTGCCCTCCCCAGTGCCTGCCTTGGGAGATGAAGATAAGTCTCTGCACTGGAGATAGTCCCCCAGAGGCCCAGGGCAGGGTTCCTGCCAGGCCTGTGCGTACATGGATGAGCAGAAAGGGGCTTCTTGACCCATATTCCCTCTTATCCAAGTCCTCCTCCTTCTTTCCCTCTTCCATTTGCCTACCACCTCCTCCTGTTTCTACTCTTCCTTATACTGTGGGATTCCCTTCCAGCTCTCATTTCTCAACTTCAGCCTCCTCTCCTGGCCTTAGGCCTGTGGAAGTCTCAAAAGGGACATCTAGTTTGAGAGGACAATCCCTGTCTGTCTCCCTGTGTCTGTCATATATGGGGAGTTGGAGTTGCCCCCACCCCAGTCCTGGGCAGGGTGTGTTCTCTCCACCAATTTGTATACCCCTGCCTGGCACTCTCAGCAGAGGATGGTCATAGAGACAGCAGCTGCTCAAGATAACGTCTTAGGTGGTTTTGTGGTTGCTGCGGTAATGAGGAGTGGTCATTTTGTGCCAGGGCTGTTTATGACCAGTGACCTCTGTTTTCTGCAGCAGCCAACCCAGGATAACAAGCAGAAATACCTAGGAACTCCAGAGACCAGCTGGGCCAGGACTGTCCAATCACATGTGGGCATGCAAATGAGCTAGGGCTTTGTCCCTAGGAAGTCTGGATTGGGGCAGATATACAGACAGCAAGAGTTTGGAAAGGATGAAAACATCCTTCCCTAGAGGATAAGTAAATTCTCATACAGCCCTACAATGCAATATTACACAGCTATAAATTTAATTATATCTCTCTGTGTACTAACAGGGAATAATCTTCCAATGAAAAGATGAGGTGCAGAAATGTGTGTGGTTTAGAAGGGAGAAAAATATAAATATAGATTTTCTTATAAATGCATATTCAGAAGAAATGGGTAACACTGGTTGCCTCTGAAAGGGAACTGGGAGGTTGGGGACAGGGGAGGGAGGGGACTTAGTACTGTATACCCCTTTGTACATTTTGAATTTTGAACCATGTGATTGTATTACTTATTCAAATTAAATAATAAATGGGCCTAAACAGGACCTGACATTATTGTTGTTGTTTTAACTGGTATGTCTTTTAGGACATGTTGGGAGTAGGGGAGGGTAAGTAAGTTAAGGGATGGACCCACAGACTCAATTTTCTTAAGTTTTTGAGCCTGAGAGAAATGGGCATGGCCTACAGTAATTCCTTTGCCTTCTTTTGCTTGTATATCTCTGAAGAAAATGTTACACCTCAGTCAATCTCTCTCGTTCTTTCTCTCACTTTCGCTCCCTGTCTCTGTTAGAAGAGGGGGCAATGAGAAGCAATGGGAAGAGTGACTTCTGCCTGCTGGAAGCTCAGGCCAGGCCAGGAGGTCAAGTGCAAGAAACGGATTTCGGATGCTGCTCAGTTTATGACTAGAGGAAGATCTATCCAGGGAACTCAAGTATCAGCTTCTGCTACCTTCCATCCTGCCCCAAGCCCATGTTCACCTCTGAGCCAATGGAACAGTGGGTGGGGAGGAGCCAGTAAGCTGAAGAGAACCTAGGTTCCCAAGAACAGGGAGAAAGACTTCAGTAAGGAGCAGAGAGCCAGTGATGGCTGGACTGATTTACCACATGGCCTGGGGTGGAAGCAAGAGTGACGAAAGGACAGACAGAGTGAGGACAAGGCAGACTGCAGACTGAGATGGAGAGAAGAAGGGATGTCCTGGCCAGATGAGGCTCTGATACTAATTTTATACTTACTTTTCCTCTGACCTGAATAATTTAACTTCTTTAAAAGGCATATCCTGCCCTGGCCGGTTTGGCTCAGCGGTTAGAGCTTTGGCCTGCGGTCTGGAGAGACCCAGGTTCAGTTCCTGCTAAGGGCACGTACCTCGGTTGCAGTTTGTCCCCGGCCCTGGTTGGGTCATGTGGGTGGCAACCACTCAGTGTGTCCCTTTCACGTTGAGATTTCTCTCTCTCTTTCCCTCCCACTCTGTCTGAACAAAATATCCAAAAATGTCCTCGGGTGAGGATAAAAAATAATAAAAATAAAAATAAATAAATAAATAAATAAATAAATAAATAAATAAATAAATGGCATATCCTTTTGTTTCTACCTCCTATTGCTCCTTCTTATGGTCAGTTTCCCAGTGGTCAGTACTGGGGAAAGGATTAAAGGAATGCTGGTGACCACCCCTCCCTACCCTGTTTTACTAACTTTAAGCTCATTATCTTGAAATCCATCTCTAGACCAAAGAGTGTATTTGTATGCAGCGAGAGTGTGTGTAAATAAATGCTCACAAGCATTTGAAAATATGACTATGGTTATATCTCTGCATCTCACCATAGGGATGACACTGTCTGTTCCAGGCCTCAGTGGACATGTAGATAGCGAGAGTGTCAGCCCAGCTGGGGTCAGGAGGGCTATGTGACCAGCCCTCCTTCCCTCCCTCCCTCCCCCGCAATGCCACCCCCACCCTGGCAGGACCAGAGCACTGAGTCTGGGCTGAGGACATGGCCTTTTCCCCCATGCAGTATCCTGGAGCCCCAACCTAATCTCTTCCTTAGACTGCTGAGGCCGGCTACGGTGTTGGACTCAGATCTCTGGTCAAGTGAATAGTGTCTGGGGGTGTCAGGTTCTGAAAGAATAGTGTCCCCAAAGCTGAGAACTTTCGCCCTTGGGCCCTAAGAAAAGGTGAATAAGGGGACCCCTGGGGCTTAGCTCAGAGGGCATAACTGGGACTTCCCCAGGAATCTAGATACCGAACACCCCTGTGAGGAGCACAGGATACTCTTGCCTGCCTCTGCAGTTCTCCTGAAGCTCCCGGGAAGGGCTCTAGTTCCCAGTGCAAGAGAAGATTCCTCCATGCATTCAACAAAGATGCATAGCCCTGGCCAGTTCTGCTCAGTGGTTAGAGTGTTGGCCCAAGGACCAAAGGGTCACGGGTTGGATTCCTGGTCAAGGGCACGTACCTGGGTTGCAGGTTCGATCCCCAGTCGGGGTCTAATCGATGTGTGTGTCTCTCTCTCCCTCCCTCCCTCCCACTCTATCTAAAAGTCAATGGAAAAATGTCCTCAGGTGAGAATTAACAAAAACAAACAAACAATACCAAGATGTGCAGAGTGCCATGCACCATGTGAGGAACTAGGATGTATTAGTGAGTAACAGATACAATTTTTCCTCAGGAGCAAGAGAGGTAAGTGAAGGGGCAATTACAGATGAGGACTGTTAGAGGGGAGGGGGAGCAGGACAACAGCAGATTTCCTGAGGGATCTGATGTCTCAGCTGATCCTGGAAGAAGAGTAGAATTTGGCTGGGGGAGAAAGAAGAGCACAAAGAATGTTCCAGGCAGAGGGAATAGCATGTTCAAAGGCCAGGAGAAGACAAGATAGCACCATCCAAGTATCCAAGTTCATTGACAAGCACATGGGCTATGAAGAGAGGCTGGAGGAACAAGGAGGAGACAGAGGAGGCAAGTTCTTGCAGGCCACAGTTACTCTAACAAAAAGGGGGAGCCGCCCTGGCCGGTTTGGTTCAGCGGTTAGAGCGTCGGCCTGCGGTCCTGAGAGACCCGGGTTCGGTTCCCGCAAAGGGCGCGTACCTCGGTTGCAGTTTGTCCCCGGCCCTGGTCGGTTGTGCCGGTGGCAGCCACTTGATGTGTTCCTTTCAAATCGATGTTTCTCTCTCTCTCTGTTCCTCTCTCTCCCTCCCACTCTACCTGAACAAAAAATGGAAAAATGTCCTCGGGTGAGGATAAAAAAAAAAAAAAAAAAAGGGGGAGCCATGGAAGGATTTTTTTTTAAATATGTTTTTATTGATTTTTTAGAGTGAGAGGAAGGGGGATAGAGATAGAAACATATCTGAGGGAGAAACATCGATCGGCTGCCTCCTGCATGCCCCACATTGGGCATTGAGCCCACAACCTGGGCATGTGCCCTGACGAGCAATCGAACCAGGACGTCTCAGTCCACGGGATGACACTCAATCCACTGAGCCGCACCAGCCGGGCAGCCATCGAAGGATTCTAAGCAAGGGAGTGACAGCATCATATTTTAGGACATTTCTATAGATATTCTGGCCTAGATAGAAAGAACAGAGTTGATGAAAGGCCTAGCCACAGGGAGGTATGTCAGGTAAGAAATGACGGTGATCTGAACATAGAGTGAGACCTGGGGAGGACTGTGGAAAATCTGGCCCAGGGAGGCCCTGTTTGGCCTCAGTGCAGCCTGACCTCATGAATGGAAGAGCATTATATTTGCTGAACACTTAAGAGATTACTTGGGCCTGGCTGGTGAGGCTCAGTGGATTGAGTGTCCTCCCATAGACTGAGAAGTCCTGGTTCGATTCTCAATCAGGGCACAGGCCTGGGTTCTGGGCTTGATCCCTGGTGGGGGACCTGTAGGACACAGCTGAAGGAAATAGCTGATGAATGTTTCTTTCTTTTTTTAAAAAAAAAAATATGTTTGCCCTGGCTGGTATGGCTCAGTGGTAAGAGCGTTGCCCATGGACCAAAGTCCCAGGTTCAATTTCGACTAAGGGCATGTACCTCGGTTGCGGTTTGTTTCTGGCCCCGGTTGGGGTTGTACAGATGGCAACTAATCGATGGGTCTCTCTCACATCGATATTTTTCTCTCTCTCCTTCCGTCTTTCCCTCCAGCTCTATCTGAAGATTAATGTAAAAATATCCTCAGGTGAGGATTAAAAAAATATTTTTTAATTGATTTTTTTAGAGGGAGAGAGAGGCAGAAACATCGATGTGAGCGATACATCAATTGGCTGCCTCCTGCATGCCCCCCACTGTAACCTGTGCCCTGACCGGGAATCAAACGGGGACCTCTCAGTACATGGGACGACACTCAATCCATTGAACCACATCAGCCAAGCTCTCACATCAATGTTCCTATCTCTCTCTCCCTTACTCTCTCTCTCAAAAAACAAACAAACAAACAACAAAAAACAACATTTTTTTTAAAGAAATCACTTGGAAAAGTCAGTTGCTGACTAAAGTAAAATTCAACTCAATAATCAGTAGTTAGTATGGCTATATGATAAATGCTTAGATTTTACTTGTAAACATTGTACATACAGTACATAGTAGGTTTGAAAAAAAAAGTTGAACCCTTGAAAAAAAAAAAGGTGCCTGGAGCCCTCTTTAAACTTCTTTGACTGGGTTTGGCAGTGAGAATAAGCTCATTAATTCTACAGTCTCTTTACCAGTTTAAGGGGAACCCCACCCTTTCCAGCTCCTCCCAGAAGGTTCTCTTTCTGTTATCCACTCCCCTCCCTGTATGATAATCTCTCCCTCTTGACTGGTTCTTCCTCCCAACTCTCATTTTGCTAAGCCACTCCGGGACCCTGCGTCTCCTGAGGTGGGATCTCAGCCTTTCTCCAAGGAGTGTTTCCCCTGTCCTGACTCTACTTCCTGTCTGCCCCCAGTCTGCTCTCAACCCCTGCCCTCCCTCTGCTGACCCTCAAGCCACAGACACTACTCTGACAAAGGACACCCGTGATTTCTACCTGCATGCTTTTGTAGCTGCCTACTTTCTGGACATCTCAGTGACTTTTTTTTTTTTTTTTAAATCTTTATTGTTGAATGTAGAATGTATTACAGATGTTCCACATTTTCCCCCCATTGACCCTTTCCTCCCTCCTCCCTGCTCCCGTCCCCCTCCCGCCTTTTCCCACACTATTGTCTGTGTTCATTGGTTATGCATATAAGTTCTTTGGTTTATTTCTTCTCACCCCCCCCCCACCCCTTTCCCTTTGAGGTTTGTCAGTCTAGCAATAAATTTGTACTTCTTAATTTCTTCACCTTTTTCACCCATTCCCCCAACCCCCTCCCATCTGGCAACCAACAAAATGTTCTCTGTACCTATGAGAATGTTTCTGTTCTACCTGTTCATTTTGTTTGTAGATTCCATTGTTGATAGATATGTATTCA